TGTTTTTTGAGATGGAGTCTGGCTCTGTTGCCCAGGCTGGAGTGAGTGCAATGGCGAGATCTTCGTTCACTGCGACCTGTCTCCAGGGCTCAAGTGATTCTCTTGCCTCAGCCTCCCAAGTACCTGGGATTACAGGTGTGCACCACCACGCCCAGGTAATTTTTGTATTTTTAGTAGAGACAGGGTTTCACTGTGTTGGCCAGGATGGTCTTGATCTCCTAACCTTGTTATCCACCCGCCTCTGCCTCCCAAAGTGCTGGGATTACGGGCGTGAGCCACCATGCCCGGCAATTTTTTGTAGAGGCAGGGTCTTATTATGCTCCCCAGGTTGGTCTCAAATTTCTTGGGCTCAAGCGATTCACCCGTCTTGGCCTCCCAAAGTTCTGTGATTACAGGTGTGAGCCACTACACCCGGCCAAGGTCTTGAGAGACTGGACGGAAAAGGCTTTGCGAAGGCAAGGGCCCTGGGTATCCCAGGGCCCAGAGCGTGGTAGGCCCTGAATGTATCCTGAAAAAATGAGTCAGAGGATCACCTAGAGGGCTTGTTCAGCATGGACAGTTGTTCCCAGCCCCACACAGTTTCTGCTTTCAGTGGCCTGGGGTGCTGCCTAAGACTCTGCATTTCCCACAGTCCCCAGGTGATGCTGCCACTGGTCCTGTGAGCTCACTGGAGAGCTGCTGACTTGGATAACAGTATCACAGCTGGGCCAGGTGGCCTGTAATCCCAGCACTTTGGGAGGCTGAGGTGGGCAGATCACAAAGTCAGGAGATCTAGACCATTCTGGCTAACACGGTGAAACCCCATCTCTACTAAAAATACAAAATATTAGCCAGGCGTGGTGGCACACGCCTGTAGTCCCAGCTATTCGAGAGGCTGAAGCAGGAGAATCACTTGAACCCAGGAGGAGGAGGTTGTGGTGAACCAAGATCATGCCACTGTACTTCAGCCTGGGCAAAAAGAGTGAAACACCATCTCAAAAAAAAAAAAAAAAGTGGGGCCGGGCGCAGTGGCTCACACCTGTAATCCCAGCACTTTGGGAGGCCGAGGTGGGTGGATCACGAGGTCAAGAGATCGAGACCATCCTGGTCAACNGGGCGCAGTGGCTCACACCTGTAATCCCAGCACTTTGGGAGGCCGAGGTGGGTGGATCACGAGGTCAAGAGATCGAGACCATCCTGGTCAACATGGTGAAACCCCGTCTCTACTAAAAATGCAAAAAATTAGCTAGGCATGGTGGCACACACTGTAATCCCAGCTACTCAGGAGGCTGAGGCAGGAGAATTGCCTGAACCCAGGAGGCAGAGGTTGCCGTGAGCCAAGATCGCGCCATTGCACTCCAGCCTGGGTAACAAGAGCGAAACTCCGTCTCAAAAAAAAAAAGTATCACAGACGTTCAAATTCGAGGACCTCAGAGTCCCAGCTAGGATTGAACTGGAAATTAAAGATGATTCTGGGCTGGGCACGGTAGCTCACGCCTGTAACCCCTGCACTTTGGGAGGTCAAGGCAGGCAGATCACCTGAGGTTGGGAGTTTGAGACCACCCTGACCAACATGGAAAAACCTTGTCTCTACTAAAAAAAAAACAGAATTAGCCAGGTGTGGTGGCGCACGCCTGTAATTTCAGCTAATCGGGAGGCTGAGGCAGGAGAATTGCTTGAACCCGGGAGGGTGGAGGTTGCGGTGAGCTGAGATCATGCCGTTACACTCCAGCCTGGGCAACAAGAGTGAAACTCCATCTCAAAAAACAAAACAAAACAAAAAGATGATATTATTCTGGACACTAGTTCTTCCCCTTTTGTGTGTTTAGGACTTCCCGTGAGAAGGTGAAAGCCAGAAACCTTTTCCCCAGAAATGTAAGCACATACACATACACACACATGTGCATATGATCTCAGGTGTTCAGAGCCCTCCCCAAGCCTATCCATGATGCCCCCTTGGCCCTCAGGTTAATGCCTTATTTGATCTGGTAGCTCCTACCTCTGAACAGATGAGGAAACTGAGGTGCAACCAAATTGGGTGGGACCAGGCTGAGCTCACAGGGATCCGTTTCCTGACTCCCTTCTCTGGCTTCCGTGGCTCTTGGAAAGGCTTTGTCTTGCCTCCAGGGTATCTGGTGCCACTTGAAGCTGGGTTCAAGCAATTCTCTTGCCTCGGCCTCCCGAGTAGCTGGGACTACAGGCGCGTACCACCACGCCCAGCTAATTTTTGAATTTTTAGTATAGACAGGGTCCTCAAGTTTGCCTGCCTCAACCTCCCAAAGTGCTGGGATGACAGGCGTGAACCCCTGCGCCCCACTGGCCCCACCAATCTATGAGCCGGGGCTGCAGTGAGCCGAGACGGTACCACTGCACTCCAGCCTGGGTGACAGAGTGAGGCTCTGTCTCAAAAAAAAAAAGAAAAAAAGTCACCCTCAACTTTTTCTTTTTTATTTTTCCTATTCTGATTTAAATTGCTTTATTATGGAAAAAAATTTCAAATGTATACAAAAGAAATGAAGATAAGATAATGAATGTCTGTAAACTCTCATCTAGCTTCACTGATGATTTTGCCCCATTTCAAATGCAGACATTTATATATTTTCTTGCATCACTGTAATACCGTATTGCACTGAATGGAACTAACTAGTCACTTGGATATTTTGGAAAGGATGGCTCAGAAAGGTATCTCTGAGGAGGTGATCGTCAGTCGTGTAACTGATATTTATTGAGTACCTACTGCATTCCAGGCACTGCTTTAAGAGATAAGGCTCCCTGAGTGAAGGACATTTGAGCATAGGTTTAAATGAATCGAAGGGGCCAGGCAAGGTGGCTTACACCAGTAATCTCACCACTTTGAGAGGCTGCGGCGCGGATCCCTGGAGCCCGAGTTCAACACCAGCCTGGGCAACATAGTGAGCCTCTGTCTCTAAAAAGAATAAAAAATTAAAAAGAATAAATGGGCCGGGCACGGTGGCTCGTGTCTGTAATCCCAGCACTTTGGGAGACTGAGTTGGGTGGATCACAAGGTCAGGAGTTCAAGACCAGCCTGGTCAACATGGTGAAACTCCATCTCTACTAAAAATACAAAAAAAATAGCCAGGTGTGGTGGCACTCACCTGTAATCCCAGCTACTAGGGAGGCTGAAGCAGGAGCATTGCTTGAACCCAGGAAGCAGAGGTTGCAGTGAGCCGAGATCGTGGCACTGCACTCCAGCCTGGGTGACAGAGCAAGACTCCATCTCGAAAAAAAAAAAAATTAGGAAAAGAAAGAATAAATGAAATGAACAAACATGCTGGAGTGGTTATCTGTGGGACTAGCAAGCCAGGCAGAGGGAACCGCAGATGCAGGGCCCTGAGATAAGACTGTCTGAGGAACGGACAGGACATCTGTGTGGCTGCAGTGGAGTAGGCATGAGAGGGAGGGAGTGGAGATCAGCCAGATTCGGTAGCACCTTGTGGCACATGGTGAGGACTTGGGCATATGCCATGAGATGGAGCCAGCTTCAGAGCAGAGGAGTGACACGACAATTTACAGCATGAACCTAGAGGGCAGAGATTTCTGTCTATTTTATTTATTTATTTATTTTTTCTGGGTACTCCTCCCAAATGTCTCTTTAAATCTAAAAATTTTTTAAAATTCTTTTAGTGACAGGGTCTTGTGCTTTGTTGTCCAGGCTAGAGTGCAGTGCTGTGGCCATTGCTCACTGCAACCTCGAACTCCTGGGTCCAGCGATCCTCCCACGTCATCCTTCCAAAGTACTAGGATTGAAGGTGGCAGCCACCACGCCTAGCCTATTTCTAACTGTTTCATTTGCCCCCAGTCCCCAGTAGATCCCAGCCTGGCACACAGTAGTAATTCAGTAAACATTTGTTGCACAAATAGAGCAGATCAGTATACATAGAGCTATGTTATTTTTTATGTTCCAGGGTGGGGGCATAGCATCATTTATTTAGTTCCCGGTGGATGGTCGTCTGGCTTCTTACAGGCTTAAGCATTGCATGAGATAATTGTTTTATTTATTATTTATTTTTTAAATTTAATTTATTTACATATTTTGAGACAGAGTCTTGCTCTCAGACTGGAGTGTGGTGGCGCAATCTTGGCTCACTGCAACCTCCACCTCCAAGGTTCAAGCAGTTCCCCTGCCTCAGCCTCCCGAGTAGCTGGGATTACAGGCACATGCCACCACACCGGGCTAAATTTTTTTGTATTTTTAGTAGCGATGGGGTTTCACCATGTTGGCCAGACTGGTCTCGGACTCCTGACCTCAGGCAATCCACCCGCCAGGAGGTTGGGGGTCTGAAAGGCTGAGTTGTGCTCCCGCAGGTGGCTGTCTCTTAAGGGGTCTAAGCAAGGCCACAATCTCAACTGGATTGAACCAGGAGTTCGGGACGGTTGCTCTTCGCCCCTAGCTGACCCTCAGAGAAGACTCAGAGAAAGAAAGTGCCCAGAGAAAGCCTCCCAAAGTGCTGAGATTCTAGGCGTGACCTACTGCGCCTTTGCATGAGATAATTATTACAATGCTCTTAGCACAGTACTGGACTGGAGGAAGTGCTTCATCTGTTAGTGATTATCATGACTATTACTATTATCACAGGGAGACCCAGATGGAGACAGGGCTGGGGGGGCAACCTAGGGTGACACACACACCTGGGGACAAGGGGCACGCAGCTCCTGTGGTGGCAGCCCTTCCATGCCCCTGACAACTGTCTCTCCTGCCTGCAGCTCCACGGAGAAGAACTGCTGCGTGCGGCAGCTGTACATTGACTTCCGCAAGGACCTCGGCTGGAAGTGGATCCATGAGCCCAAGGGCTACCACGCCAACTTCTGCCTGGGGCCCTGCCCCTATATTTGGAGCCTGGACACACAGTACAGCAAGGTACGTCTGGCCCACGGGGGTAGGAGATGCGCTGGGGGGAGCCAGGATGGAGGAAGAGGAGAGAGAAAGACAATAAAGTCAGAGAGACGAGTTGGCAGGATGGGGAGAAAGAAAGAGGGATGGGGCGGGGAGGGGAATGCATAAAGAGATGGGGAAAGAGGCATGAGAAACGAAGACTCACAGAGCTGAAGTAACAGAGGGATGGGGTGAAGCGGAGAAGAGAGACAAGGAGATGGAAGGAAAAACGCAGAGAGAAATGGAGAGACAGAATGAGAGAGGCAGACGGGCACTGGCAGATACAGACACAGAGTTATGGCAAGGAGAGACAAAGACAGGTACACAACAAGGCAAGAGGCGAACAAGAAGAGGGACACACTGAGAAGGAAAATCAGGACGGGCGCGGTGGCTCACGCCTGTAATTCCAGCACTTTGGGAGGCCGAGGCAGGTGGATCACAAGGTCAGGAGTCCGAGACCATCATGGCCAACATAGTGAAACCTTGTCTCTACTAAAAATACAAAAAGCTAGCTGGACGTGGTGGTGCATGCCTGTAATCCCAGCTACTTGGGAGGCTGAGGCGGAGATCGCGCCACTGCGCTCCAGCCCCGGCAACAGTGTGAAACTCCGTCTCAAAAAAAAAA